AAATTCTGGAAAGGGTTTAAAGCATTTCTATTAAGTATCTAGATAGGCTTGCGGTCTTTCTGAAAAAGAATGCATTCTTAATTAGAACTTAATATATTGTTCATGATTTTCACTTAATGTTCAGATTGAACAGGGTGGTGTGATAAATAGAAATTCTTTTTGACAAATGTATAAAAGATCTGTGTTAAAACTATATTCCGGATTATGAGTTGTGTAGAGAAGATTTGAGACCAAGTTTTTGTATAATTAGCATAGATCAGGCTGGGGCCACAAAGACTTCACAATAGATGTAGAGTTAGTGCTGCAGGAATTATGGTAGCATAAGAACTGATAAAAATCAGGTCTTTGTTTGGAGGAATTGGGCTTTTAAAGATAAAAGATTCATCAATTCTAGTAGACAGTAGGATTATTTATTTTCTTATTCCACTAAAAGAAAACCTTATTGTGTGATATAAATCAAAGCAAGAGGGCACAAATAAGCAGCTGGAAGTTCACATTCCCCACAAGTGTAAACTGCATCTTCATGCTTCTAATAGGAAATAGGCAAAAATTGTTTTGTGGTGGCCTAGTAATTAGAAAAATGATTCAGTGTGTCATGCAAAAAGTATTGCCTGGAATTTTAGGTAATTCAGATGTTTTTCATGTCCTCTTCCAAAGAGTGGAATCAGGAAGAGGGATGATAGCTCTGTTCCTCTATTGATAAGATTTTTTTTAATGAATTGAGAAAAGTGCAAGGACATTTTTCTTAGTTCCTGAACAAAAGAGAGGAATCTGACGTGTTCCCTTGACTAAGTAATATGAATAGCCAGATTTTTCTGCATACAAAGAAACTGGTTGAATAAATATATCTGGTCTACCGTTCCAAGTCTGGAAGAACAAGATAGAAATTGATTAAATAATATTACAAGTTTCTCTCTCAAATACAACATTGAATTCAGAAGTGCTTTTGTTTTTACCTTGAGAGCAGTCTGAATATTTTTTTTTTTCTAGCTTGAAATAATGTTGGACTGATTCTTTCTTATTTTATTACATGCAATTTTGGGCTCATTCTTGCCTAAAAGCAAACTATATATGTGTGAAATCTGACTATTTTGGACAATAGCAGACAACAAAATTCTAGATATACTTTGGGTGGACTATTCCTGTATTAAATATATTACATTCACAAATTCTATGTATCTGTTTGGAAGTGCCATTGAGTTCAGTAGGACTTATTCCGAAGTAAGTGAATAAGAGACATTGTGATGGCAGCTTAAAATATTAGACAAGGGATGGATGCTTCATCCATGTCTTAATATGTGATTTCAGCTGTGGATGGAAAAGCACCTCTTGCTACTGGAGAAGATGATGATGATGAAGTTCCAGGTAAGAATTGTTAGCCTCATTTCTTATTTTTAAGGACAGGATTCGAACAAATTTGAATATTTTGTGTTCTTACCACTTTAGATGGAAGTATTTTTTTGGCCCAATTTTTATTATGTCCAGTAAAGTGGAATATGGACTAGACCTCCGGTGTATTCAGATAACCCTCATCTTACAACAGAAGTTGAGACCAGAATTTTCATTGCCAAATAATGCAATTGCAAAGTCCCCTGTCTGTGATTCTTAGGCACAACAGTTCTAGCATTTCTGGTTGCTGTTAAAGGTATCGTCATGGCTTGTCAAGCAAGAACATCACACTTCCTGTCAGCTTTCCCATTGACTTCACTTGTTGGAAGCTGGCAAAGGAAGTCACAGATGGCAACCATATGATCATGGAACTCTGTAACACAATTGTGAACAAGCACTGAATGCTTGGTTGCAGTTGCATGATTGTGGTGACATTGCAACAGCTGAAACTTAAGGACAGGCCCCTTGTTCAGTACTGTTATAACTTTGAACGGTCACTGAATGAATGGACCGAAAAACTGTATGGTTAAAAATTGTTGCATTACAATGCATTGCTTTTCTCAGATTGGTTGAGTAAATATATGAGGTAGAGATAATTGTATAGTTATGCATGAAGCTTTAATACCTAATGCCCTCTGACAGATGTACAATTCTAAAAAGTTTTAGATGTTAGCATAAGCATTGAAATAACACTGGACTTTTTTTCCACTTAAAAAAAACTCATTCCATTTTTTTTCCTTTGCAGATCTCGTGGAGAACTTTGATGAGGCTTCCAAAAATGAAGCAAATTGAATTGTCATGTTCAGTAAAACTTGAAAATTATGTGGAGCTGCTATTTTATATTGTGACTTTTATTTGTAATATTTTGTACTGATCTTAGTCTTAAGATCTGTAATATTTGGAAACTTGGTTCAATGCAGCTCTCTTCAGTTATTGTTAATGCACAGTGCAAATGGGCTGGAAGTACACAAAATGGAAAAGTACTAAGTCCAAAAGCTAATAAAGACTAAATCTTTAGGCGAATACTTTACTGGTATTTTTTGTATATAATTAAAATAGTTACTTGTGATAATGGTGGGAAATGAAGGTTTTGGGCTTTAAATCTTACTTTGATAATAAGTTACGATCTTCCAGAGCCACCTTTTTTGCATTACCTATTATAATGATTTATGCCAACAAATTGAAATGGATTTCAGTTCACAACTAGATTATTGATGGTGGTTCAGATTTTATCTAGATAAAAGACAGGTTAGATTACTAAGTGTTATAGATAGGCTGACACTAACCATTTAGTTAAAGGTTTCATATTTGGTTTAATATAACCTTCACTGGGTCTCTCTTGATATGCTGGACTTCAACTCTCCCAAGTTCTTAACAGGAGGGCATCTATAATATTATCTGGGAATTATAGGAGAAGAAATCTAATTGATGTTGAGAAGCCTAAAATGTAGAAGGCAAACTTAAAATTTTTCCTCCAAGTTTGTTTATTTAATAAAAAAAAAGTTGGGAGGGACCTTGGAGGTCATCTAGTCCAACCTCCTGCTCAGGCAGGAAACCCTACACCATTTCAGACAAATGCCTGTCCAGTCTCTTAAAAACTTCCGGTGTTGGAGCATTCACAGCTTCTGGAGGCAGGTTGTTCCACTGATTAATTGTTCTGTCAGAAAATTTCTTCTTAGTTGTAGGTTGCTTCTCTCTTTGGTTAGTTTCCATTCGTTGCTTCTTGTCCTGCCTTCAGGTGCTTTGGAGAATAGCTTGACTCCCTCTTTGTGGCAGCCCCTGAGATATTGGAACACAGCTATCATGTCACCCCTCCTCCTCCTCTTCATTAAACTAGACATACCCAATTCCAGCAACTATTCCTTATGTTTTAGCCTCCAGTCCCCTGATCATTTGTTGCTCTTTATACTCTTTCTAGAGTCTCAACATCCTTTTTGTGGTGACCAAAACTGGATGCAGTATTCCAAGTGTGGTTTTACCAAGGCATTGTAAAGTGGTATTAACACTTCACGTGATCTTGATTCTGTTAATGCAGCCTAGCACTGAGTTGGCTTTTTTGGCAGCTGCAGCACACTGCTGGCTCATATTGAAGTGATTGTCCACTAGGACCCCGAGATTCCTCTCACAGTTGCTACTATTGGGCAAGGTACCACCTATACTATACCTGTGCATTTAAATGAATATGTATGTATAGTATGATCTTTATTTACTGGCACATTTATAAAGTTTGGACAATGTAGAAGAATAAGGTCATGGGCTTCAGGTGAGCCTAAAGGCATCTACAATAGACTTTCAAATAATCAGGAATAATCTTGGAGTTGCTGAGATTTTAGTGGTAGGGTGATTTGTTTTAGTTCATTCTTTACAGCAATTGTTGCCGTTCTCCTTTCCATGTGGAAGTTAATATAAAGAATTATTCAAAATCACTACACATCAATAGATACAACTACTACCATCAGAAGGTGTTCTGGTTTCCACTTTGCTTTTACTTTTAAGATAGCAGTTTGTTAACAAAGCACCAAATGAGTATATGTTGTCTTGAATAATTGGATCATTAGCAGCAGAATTGTGTTCATTCTGTCTAGATGCAAAGAATACTGAATTTGAAACAATTATTTAGACATTAGTATCTCACAGGTATAAAAGTACAGTAGACATAAACACAATGTTCACACGTGAACAGTTCATGACTGGAAGTTGTCTTTTGGTTGAATGAATCTTGATTTTTAGATAAAATAACAGTTGTAATTCATCAGCTGTACTGGTGCTTGGACAAAAGATTGGTGTAGGAATCTGTATTTCAGTCCTTAGACCAGAGAAGGGCTTTTGTTATATAAGTTACCTATTTAAAAACGGTAGGCACAGGCAAGATGAATCATTTGACATCTGTGCTATACTCTAAAATGACACGTAAATAAGCGTTCTTTTTTAGAGATAGTAATTACTCTAGGCCATGGCTAAGTAGTCCACCTTAGATACTATTTGTATGAAAGATCACCAGGAAAACCCAGAACTTACAGGCTGCATGGAAACGTTGAAACAATTTCCTGGAAGGTCATGGCAAATCACTTTCATATTGCCAATAATGAAGTAATGGACCAATCCTTCTATTTACCTTAATTATAATGCAAAAAAGCAATTAATGCATGTAATATAGAGCAGAGGCCCCCAATCTTTGGGCACCAGGGACAGGTTCCGTGGAGAAGTTTTTCTGCAGATCAGAGGGGGGGGGGGTTTTCACGTGCATCCTGCAGATGGGGTTTTGCTTGTTTGCGTGGACCGGTGCTGGTCCATGAACCAGGGGTTGGGGACCCCTGGTATAGAGCATCCCCCCATTTTTAACTATGCTTCTTAAAAATTGACTACTGTAGATAAGTTCTTAAGATTGCAGTCTGACTGGGCAGGTTATATAATAGGAAAGTATCCAACAGTGCCATTTACCAACTACTACAAATATGGGTAGTGGCAGGAATTGCATCTATTTTACCAAATAGCTATAACTATTGGTGCTGTCTAGCTGCTTTCAATAAAACTCTCAGGGCCAGAACTGCAGTTTTCAACATGCTATTGCAGAAGACAAATTATCAACATGACTTATTTATGTATTTTTATTTACATGGTAATGAATACTGTGTGCAAATGGTTTTCTGACATCTTTTAACAATTTCAGTGGTCTACACGAAAAAAACTGATAACTTCTATACTATTAAATGGTGAAATGGAAGTATGGAATAACAGCAACATGTAGCTTGCTGCTAGTTATAAATACTGAGGTAAAGCTCTTTCTAAAAATACAATACAAAACAGATTTAAAAAGATCATGATAGACAACAGCTCAAAAACACAATTTGTACTTTATATAAAACAACACTCCCAAAACAGTTTAAAAATGTAAATTTCCTTTCAAGTCATAATTCTATAAAATCAAAACAGTATTTTATCTCAAAAGGCTTGAGAATATAACAACACATAGCATATTAAATACACATTGAGAGGTACACACATTTTCAGCTACCTAAAAAATAAGTAGCAGAATCTAAAGGATTCTCTTTGGCTAGTAAGATTCTCATAGTAGGCGAATCTGCCATATATTAAGTATTGCACAATTTCCCCACAGCAGTTTAGAAGCATATGTCTGTATTTTCAATGAAACATGTTTACCTCATGCTTTTTGAGTTTTAATGTGAGAATTAACAATTCCATATAACATGAAATAAAGGTAATTAATATTCAGGATAATATCAATGCATGGGTGGCAAATTTGTTACAATCCAGAGTAATTTCATTTAGTGGTCAGTATTTTTTATAACATTCCTAAAACAGAAGGCTTTGAACAAGCACTACAGTAAGATACATTTATTTTAGGTGGCTCTTAATTAAAACACCAATATTTTTAATTGTAATAATGTTAACAATTTTTTCAGTCATTCCAGGTTATAGCTTCAGCCAGCTATATTTTTGTTTTTGTGTATATATTATTTCTCTATCCAGTTCAAATACTTAATCTATATTAGAAAATCATGTTAAATCAGTATATTTCAATAGCGGCACTGAAATAAAACAAGCTATTTGCATAAAAAGTCTGTTCTTCTAAGATTTTAGAAGTCAGTTGTAAACATAAAAAAATCCTATTTAAAACAGCAAAGAACTGACTGTTGTCTATACATGAAAATAAATAGCTACATGAACTACACATTATAGTTGGCACCAACCCCATTGGCACCAACTGAATCAAAATAAGTGTATTGGATTAATACAGTCTGAAAAACTATCTTGCTATCAACTTGAAATGTATAAAATAAATCATACATCAGCATGGGATATAATGTTGTATATTGTCATAGTACTTTACAATTTCTTTTTTCAAGTGCATAAATGAAATAGAAATAGGATAAGTTTGAATTTTAAACATCTATGAACATCACTCAAATGAAAATGGTTCACCTAAAATATTACTCAAAAGAAAACAAAATGGCTTGAATAAATTCCATACAATTTTCCTGAACTCAGCTTTCAAGTGCTGTGTCATTATTACCATTCTTGTATCTAAACAATGAAACAGAAATTCTAATGTCATAGACCCTACTATGAAATATTGGAACAATAAACCAGCACTATGGTACAGGAAAGGTTTGCTGGGACAAAAGGCAGTCTCTTCTACTTATAATCAACTGCTATAAATATGCATGCCACTAACCATTTCAAGCATGTTTGATAAGTAGTAAGAATGAAGGATGGACGAAGTTACCAATTAAAAAATACTTTTTATACTGATCAGTATTCAAATGAAGTCCATTTCTTCTTTTATTCCATAGCTATAATATTATTCCTTGATATTTTGAAGGAGTGTTAATAAATGAGTCTCAATAACCTGTTGAACTGAAATAGAGGAAAACATCGTTAGTATTCAATCTTTAAACTGGGGACTCTTCTAAAAGCACTGAAAGAAGTGAGGACTACACTGAGATTTAATCTCACTACAGTGAGATTAAGAAGAGACTAGATGGCCATTTGTCTGAAATGGTATAGGGTTTCCTGCCTGAGCAGGGGGTTGGACCAGATGACCTCCAAGGTCCCTTCCAACTTTATTATTATTATTATTTATTATTTATTATTTATTATTTATTATTATTATTATTATTATTATTATTATTATTATTATTATTATTATTATTTTGTAATAGTTGATATTTGCATTATGCACACACCTATCAGTTTTCAATAACAATTGGCTACACTTGTGAAGAAAAAGAACCAAGTTATACCCAGTAATACACTTAATTCTGAGTGGCTGTGGTTAGCGATGTTGGGAGAAACGTTTAGACTCCTTGATGCAACAAGATACCGGATTTTCTACCCTTCACCTCTATATGGAAAAAATAAGGATTGCTGTTTGGGTGCATTGTTAGGAGTAATGATTGTTCCCAAGCCTCTGCATTGATAATGACATAGCTACAAGCAAATACATGTGTGTCTTACGCAATCACACATCTGATGTTTTTTTAGATTAAGCAAGTTCCACTGTGTCATCTCTTGAACATGCTGTACTACAACCAGGTATTGGTGAAAAGCTTAGTTCTCATTGTCCCCCCCCCCTTTTTTTTTTTTTTACAAACAGCAATTTACAACGTTAGGAAACATAAAAAGATTTTTATCTTGACATTAAAAGGGAATTGAAGCACATATTTATCTTTGCTTAGCTATGTAAATAGTAAAGAATGCTGTTCTTTAAAGAAACAGCAAGAAACACTTGGGAGGACTTCTGATTTAACAGGTCATGGTTCTAAAATGCCTATTCACATACTCATAATAAAACCTATTAAGTGGTTAAACTAGAATGGGAAGTCAATGTCTTTTATTTCTTCCCCTCCCTTTCATCACACTTTTTTTGTTTTCGCTTTCTCTACCGTTGTCCCATACTATTTGCTTTGTATTTTCACATTTTATGTTATAAATGAATAAAACTAATTAAAAATAAAAAATGGTTAAACTAATCAATTGACAGTAAAAAGGCTGCAACAGCATGTTAAAAAGTGCTTGAATTCTCACCACTACGATGGCCCAAGGCTACAGCAAGATCCATAGAATTATATCCAGAATCAGTTTCTACAGTTGGATCAGCACCATGTTCTATTTAAAACAAAATGACATTTAGGAATACGTACATGCATTGTTAATCTCATTAGTTAATCTAAAAGTTCCCAAACTTTCTTGCTTCACAATGCTCCTATGTTGTTCCAGTGATGAACACACTAACAGTTCCATTTCTTTGGCAAAATACCCCACACTATCCCTGTGAGTTCATTGCCACAGCACACAGTCTGAGCACTAAAGGTTTTATTTGTATTAATAATAATTACCTAAGAGTATTTTGACACATTTCACATGATTCCCATGAACAGCATAGAGCAGGGGTGTACCACCATTCTGAGGAAAAAAATAATAATTTTGTTTTGCACAGCTCAATGATAAAAACATTAGCCTCAAAACTTTAATTTAGTTTATCAGCAAAGTGTATTATATAGACCCAATTAATCTTTTCCTTATCAATAAAGCAATAGAGACATTTTTTGTGTGACATAGACTTTAGCTTGCACCTGCTAGTTAGGTGGCTTTCCTATAGCTGGGCTGCAACTCGGCCTGCTGACCAGAATACTGCAGGAAGCATTCGGGTGTCATGGCCACAAGGAGTGGGGAAGGAACTTCAAGCCTGAAGTTGCTCTCAGATCCTGGGACAATAACAAGAGGAAAGTGCTTGGGAATTAAACCAGTCCAGAGCAGTTGCCATTCTAGTATTCCAATGGTTTTATAAGGTGACAGAGAGCAGAAATTGCAGAAAAACAAAACTTAATGGGCATTCTTTCCCAAGATTAATTAGGAAGGCTAGAAGAAAAAGAAGAGGAAGAAGCAGATAAAAGGGATGGACAAGATCAAATACATTGTAGGAATATTGTAGAAGAATTCTGCCACATACATTAAAATGGCAAGCTTTCGTCTATCTAGTCACTGTTGTCAAGCTTAACTTGATGGTATCCAACTAACCATAACCCAACTAATCCTTGAAAATTAACTTAGCCATTTTGATTGGTATGAAGAGCCACAACCCTGAATTATACAGTCGAAGAAAATAAAGTCAAATATGTTTATACAATTCAATTTACAATATCAACTATTCACAAAACAAAGAGTATCATATAAAGAACAGAAACTGAAACAAGGACAGTCACCCTTTACGCTCTACTAGGGGCTTATCTAGTGCTGTGATATGTTCCCAAGCTTCCATCTGTGAAAGAGATAGGCAGTTTTAAAATATGATAAGAGATAGATAGATAGATAGATAGATAGATAGATAGATAGATGATAGATAGATAGATAGAAAGAATAAGTTCACAATGTTACATATGGCACCTGCACTCCCACTGAGAAACTTACCCAGTCATATTCATTTACGTCAACTCCGCAATCCAGTAGCATCTTGACAATGTCTGTATATCCTTTACTACATGCTAACGACAGTGCACTCTCTCGACCTTTCCCCAAGATTTGTGGATCTGCACCCTGTCAGGAAAAACAGCACTGGTTTCATTAACAAGATCATTCTTGTGTGCAACCCATGGGTCAATCAAATGATCTCCTAAGTCCAAGGATCAAACCCCCATTATAACATATAGCCATTTGCTTCTTTAAAATGAGTACAACATCTCTAAACAGCCAAGGAATCATTTGCTTGAATGAGCCACCATTTCTTCTTAGACATAACTCTTCCTCTGTTGCAGTTTAAAGTAATTGCTTCTTAAATCTGGCTCTTCAGTTTTTATTTATAATAACCTTTATGTTCCTAAAGAATAATCACATATCTTCACTCACTATGTTTCCCACTATCCCTCTTTTAGAACAGGAATGCAAAACAATATTTTAAGTACTGATGAATCTATCATTTAGTATGATTCTGGGGAAAAGGTTCTTTATTGCTCATATTGAAGTATAGGACATATAGAAATAGAGAAATGGACAATTAATAAACTGGACATGAAATTATTTCTATAAATGGAAAAAATACTTAATAGGAGACTAATGCAGTACCATTTATAACTGCAAATTAAAACATTTTGGGCTCTACTGATGTTACCTACTTGCCTTAAAGAGACTGACACCCACAAAAGGCTGAAGGTCCTAAACCTTGTTTCCCAGATGGCCTCTGCGTCTTTACACTGTTATACCACCATCTGTTTTGGAGCAGCAGTTTGACAGTTTCTGCTGCCACCATCTATCGTGGTAAGAACAGCTCTGGTCATGATAACAAACAGCTTGCAAATTATTTCATCCAAAAGAAATTCAAAAGAAAATCTATCATTCTGGACAGGTAACAATGGATTCCTACAAATTAAGTATCCTCTGCCCAAAATATTACCGACCAGAAGGAGAGGGTTCAAAATATTACAGATCACCAGAAAATTCTAAAGGAAAAAAAAATCCATCTTCATATGTATAGCCGGAAATATGGATGAATACTGAAATTAAACACCCAATTATATAATTTGCACCAAAATATAAAGAAATATAGAATACAAAAAGTAATTTTTAAAGAATCCCTAATTCAAATCCCTAGTTATATGTTTTACATATGTCTATAGCAACCAAAAGTTTTCTGAACGAAATGGTCCTCTTATTCAATTTCCTACACTTCTCCAGCTGCTTGGAGATCCAAAAACTGATTACAGGATGCTGAGGAAGATAGAAATGCTATTTTACACTCAGCTTATTTCTATAAACTTCGTTCTGGCTTCAGAAAAAGCCAAACATTTACTATACCTAGCAGGAGAAGCTAGAAAATCTTGTTCTGTACTAGACAAGGAGACCATTTTCACTCATAAGGATGTGGCTTCATTAGACATGTATAAAATACAATACAGTTTCACTTACATTTTGGAGTAGAAATTCTACTACTGCGATTTGCCCATGAGCTGCAGCCCACATTAGAGGAGTAAAACCTTCTTCATCCATATGATTGATAATATTTTCTGTTTGACAAAACATACAGGTCAACTATCTTTCCACTTATTCTGCCCCCAAATTATCCAAACTGCTTCCAAAACTTTCATCCCATTTTCATAGTACTTTGGGGATTGCAATATACACTCGCCAGCTACATTTGGCCCATGATTCAACCACGTCTGAGGTACATAATCAGTTTGACATGTTAAAACAGCTTTTTATGTTTTTCTTTTTAGTTTAAATAAATTATGATTTAATTAGATAAAACTCTTTTCTTATATATTCCTACAGTAGTTTTCTATACCACAAAAAATCCTAAGAATTTCTTAGTGAAATTAAAAATATAAACATTCTAAAACATTAGTTGTTTACATTCATGAAATGGTCGTCTGAAAGGTGCACAGATTGATTTTAAAGGTAAGAAACAAAATTATTGATGACAACACTGTAATTTAAGCAATGTTATAGAAAACACTGTCAGAACTGAACAATAATGGCATGAGAAGAAGCTTGTACAATACAGGCAAACCTCTTTTAGTAGGAGCATGTTCTCTTGCTCATGTCATATAATTCACCAAAATTACAGGATACCTTGGATAATAATTTCATAGTACTACAGAAAAGATTTGCTAATAAATACATTTTCCCAAAGAAAAAATGTAGAAGCCCCATAACCCTAGTGCAGGGGTAGGCAACCTCGGCTCTTTTATGACTCATGGACTTCAACTCCCAGAATTCCTGAGTCAGCATAGCTGACTCAGGAATTCTGGGAATTGAAGTCCATGAGTCATAAAAGAGCCGAGGTTGCCTACCCCTGCCCTAGTCTATCTACTGCTTTTAAATCTTTTGCTTTTGCAATACTGACACATAGTTATAAGTATCAGTATTTGTATCAATGCTGACATAAAATGATTTGACATTAATAGAATGAAAATGGCTTCAAACCTATTTCAAAGTAACTGGAGAAAAAGAAGGGATGCAAGGAAGAAATGGAAACTTTCTTTAAAAAAGAGCCCCAGCACAGACCCCATCTAGCACCCTATTATCCCTGCCAAAAGACCCACACAAATCCAGAGATCAATTCTTACCTTGTTCTATGCGTGTAGCTAAGTACAACATTTCTCCCTGAGCTGCCAGCTGGTGAACAGACAGAGCTGCAAAGGCAACAACAGAAAACCATATAACAATTCAGTGAATATACCAAATTCTGTGCATAACCAGGAATAATACCATAGCCACATAAATTAGGTTTATACTACATACTGTACTAAAATATGGTTTGTCTGTACCTACATTTATTATACAAATCACTCAGGTTTACACACTGAATTATAACCAAGCCCCACCAATTCACATGTTGGTCTGGTATATGAAGCCAGCCACAGGGGTTGGGTACTAGCAGAAGGACATGTATTAAGGAAGCAAGAGCTTCACTTCAACAATCTTTCAGTTATAAAGCAATATGGCTGTATCTTTCATTGTTATAAAGCAATATGTCTGTACAAATCTTACAATTATATCTTTCATGAGTAAAGCACTTGTGTGGAATTCTTGACGCTCCCTGAGTTTGGTTGTTTGCTTGCAGATATATTATTATCTAACTAGATAGCATCAATGCTAGTGGAGGGGGGGTGGAGTTTCCATTGATAGACAATAGCTTGCACTGCCACTGTTGATGGAGATTAGTCTTTTTCCTGGTAGTTCGTTAATTACGGTATTGTTTTCTGCTTGTCTGGAATTAATCCCCATTTATCTGGGTATTGGCTACTGAATAGGATATTCCTGGTCTTTTTGTTTCCTTCTTAGCTTTTTTATTTTCTCTTTTGAATGGTCTGTAAATGTGATTTATCTTTACAGACAGTCCTCAGTTTATGACTGTAGTGGAACCTGCCCATCATGGTCATAAGTTGTGACAATTATAAAATGAGTTAATCACATGACCAACCTGATTTTACAGTCTTTTTGCTGCAGTTGTTAAGTAAACCAATGGTTCACTACTGCCTGGTTTTGCCCAAACCCAGAAGTGCTGGTTTTTGGCAAAACTAAAATGTGGTCATATGACTGTGGGGAGCTGCAAATGGCCATAAATGCAGCCAAGTTGCCAAGTGCCTGAAATTCTGTCATATGATTGCTGTGTGTGTAAAACAGCTGGAATTTTGAATATAGATTACAAATACCATGTTTCCCCGAAAATAAACCCTAGATTTTTACACATGCGCCCAATATAAGCCTTACTCCCAAAATAAACCCTACTTAAGACTCCGCCCACTCCATTGCACCTGGTTGCACGAGGTGGGGTGAGGCACACGGGTAAAAATCAAGCTAGGGCGGGGATGGAGGGGTGGAGCTGCCCTACATGTCCCGCACTCAATTAGGACAGTTGCAGCCAGGCCTGCCAGGCCTTGACACCTGCCTCACCTCGCCGGCCCACTTCTTTTGCAGCTGCTCGCTATCGCTCGTGTGCATCGCCTCAGCTTCCGTTTCACCATCAGACCTCTGCAGCCGAGAAATGAGTTTTGGAAGGGCCACTGACGGCAAAATGGAAGCCGGGGGGCACCGCACATGTCAATCCAGAGCTCGTTTCTTGGCTGTAGAGGGCTTTCCTGAAGGCCTATGATGGTGAAACAGAGGCTGGGGATGACATGCGTGAGCAGACACAAAAGAAGTGGTTCGGCGAGGCAGATGTTGGGGCATGGGAAGCCTGGCTGCAACTGTCCTAAGGTAAGCGGGTAGGACATCTCCTGAAAATAAGACCTGGTACCTCTTTTGGAGGCAAAAAGAAGAAGACCAGGTCTCATTTTTGGGGAAGCATCATATTCCCAAGGTAGATCCATCATAACCTCAAACAGTCACTAAGCAACTGATTGTAAGTTGAGGACTAACTATATGGATCTACTGATGCCTGATTGTCTGAATGCCAGTTTAAAGGAATTCCTTAGTTATTTTGGATTTAGCTTGACTTAGGATGCTCAGTTTCTCAGTTAAAACTATGGTTGAGTCTGTTCATGCATCGGGAGATTACATTTATACTTAGATGGTAGCAATGGATATCCTCTGCCAGTCTTCTGCTTACTTGTCCTGTATAATGCTAATTACAGTTCTTACACTTTATGTTGTAGGACTTCTGTTTTTCTTCCTTGGGCTACACGTTCTTTTGGTTTACTTAAGATGTTTTAAAGGCTTACATATATTCTCTTCAATTGGTAAAGCACTTCTCTGGATCTGTGGTACAAAACAGCCATAGCAGCTTGAAGGCTCTTGAGGACTTCTGTATCAATATGAATTTCTGGGACTGTTCCCAAACTTATTCTTTCTACAGAGAAACACGTACAGTTTACAAGCAAAGGTGTTGTAGAGACTTCATTTCCTCTGTGCTTGTTAGTTAAGGTAGTTGACTGCTTGATAGGTGAAAAATGCTTAGTAGTTGATGGGGTATAGACGTGTCTCACTTGAATCCCAGGAGAAGGAGAAGTGTGGATATTGCACTCAGCTAGATAAAAAAAAAAAAATCAATCGTATAACAATATTTTATTGTACAAAAGAATGTAGTTGTTTCATGCTTTATTCAGATAACATCAGTTCTTGTCTTAAGAAACAGCATCAAAAGACAGAGCTTATCCTGTGCTCAACGTTTGCAGTTAGGAAGAATCATGTAAAATGCTAAATAAATCACAGATTCACCCAGATGAATGCAAATCAGAGTATTTAGGCAATATTCATGATATGCTTGACTGAACCTAACCTGCTAAAATATTTTTGGATGCTGGCTCATCATAATATTCTAAATACCTGACTGAAGGAAACATTTAGTCAGGATTCTGGCCAGAGTATGGGACAAAGACGGCATTGATCACATTCTTGGATGACCTATAGTGGGAGTGGGATGGGGGCAGACCATCCATCCTTAACCTTTCAGCTGTTTTCAATAGTACCAGTCATGGTCTTCTTCCGGACCTGCTCTGGGAATTAGCGGTGGGTGGCATTGTGCTGGGTTGGTTCCCTCCTTCCTCAGGAATAGGTTTCAGTTGTTATTAATAAGAGGGGAGAGGGCCAATCCTCAGTCTCTTCTTGTGAGATGCTTCAGGGCTTGGATCTTTCTCCCCTCTTGTTTATAACGTACATGAAACCACTGGAATGAAATGGTTTCATCTGACAATTTGGGATGAAATACGACCAGTATGACTGGGACCACAAGTGTATGCAGGGATCTGTTTTGTAGCTAATGTAGTCATCATAACAGATGCTTTATTCTCAGCTGCCATATATTTTAATGTTTGCGTTATTTTCATTGTTTTTATTTAAATTTTGTTTCCCCACCCAGAGCGAGATGGACAACCATATGAAATAAATATTACTCTATGTAGTATTTTGATTGGACTGACCCAATCATAATAGAAAATAGAAGGACATTTTTTTATGCCTGAGTTATTGTTTATATGTCTGAGACCAAATATTAAGTAAATCCATAAACATGGAAAGTTCAGTCCATATAAAAATGGTGGAATAATGACAAATTTTCCACAAAAGTAGAAAATAGGAGGAAGAAGTACTAGATATAATTGCTGCCTTGAGTTGATAAAAAGTTTTAATTACTGGTATGTATGTGTATATTTATTTATATGAGATAAATTAATACATATCAGTAATGAAAACAGAAAAAATGTTGGGTCACATAAGATGGAACTTCAAACCAAATGTAAGTCTATTTTTTATAAGAACAGTGTTCAATTGTACAGTGTTCAATTGAACCCATCTATTCATTTGCTTTGGTAGTATTATCCTTGAAGAAAAAAAATAAAAACTGACCTTTAAATAATACTGAAGCGACTTCAAGATCAGAGTTCACTTGATCTTGAATATTTTTGCTCTCCTCTTCATTCAATGACTTGACAAATCGAGAACACACATTCATATCAAACCTATTGGGCAAAATGAATTTCATTCCCATGGCAACACTCTGAGGTGGTCCTTCTTCCACACTGGACTCAAGGTGGTGATGTTCAACTTTAATATCTGGCATATGAGACAGGCTAAAGGTGCCAGCACAATCTTCCACAATTAGCTGGGTATCAGCATCTAGATTGGTTGAGGACTCCATGATCTGAATTTCAATTATGTAATTTGTTTCTCAAGGTATTTGATGTATTCCCTTTTTCAGTATCAGTGTTTGTGATTTCTAATAATCTATAGTTGGGAACAAAATATCAGTAAATTAAAACATTGTGACACTAACTCAGTTTACTGTGCAAAAAGTAGCAATCACCACTATAAAAAACTAATTCTAAATAGTGCAGAAAATCCCAAAATAGCCTCTAAAATTTCTATACTAAGCTCTACTCAAATCAGATTTCTACTATGTTACAGGGGAATCAGCTCCAGATAGGAGGTCTTAAAAATTGAAAGGACCTCTTTTCATAAACAGTGACTGATGATCTCACATAGAGTTACCTACATATTAAACATCAGTTCACACTCTGTTGATGAAACCAGACCATCGCATCCCTAAACAGCTCTTCTATGGTGAGCTGTCTCAAGGAAAGCGATCACATGGGGGACAAAAGAAGCGGTACAAAGACACGCTGAAAGCATCTCTCAAGTCCCTGGATATCGACACCCTCTCTTGGGAATTTTTGGCGCATGATCGACCGACATGGCGTACCCTGGTTTACCAGGGTTGCCAGACATATGAACACAGAAGGACAATCTTGGCACAAGAGAAGCGAGCACTCCGTAAAGCCAGAGCTGCAAATGCTGAAGCAACAGTGTCCACATTTCTCTGTTCAGTATGTGGCAGAACATTCCGTGCTAACATCGGTCTCATCAGCCAT